CTCTTATTAAGATCGTTGGATCAAACCTTGAACAGTGCTGTATTGCAGGTTGCATCCTTCGAGATATTTTTCCTGATGAAATCCCTTGTCCCCTTATCTGTTGTTCAGGATGAGAGGTACGTCCTTAAATGGCCTAAGCTGTTTATAGGATGTTAAATCGTATGAACAAAACCAAAAAGTTATATTTACTCAATTCTTGTTTCCATCAAGTTGACCACTGAAGTGCCTATTGCATAGTGCTTGTTTACCACTCGACCGTGATGCTATGATTTGTTGATACAACTCGTTTATGTAGTATTGTTACATAACTCCTAGTTGAACTTGTATCAGAACTCGATGTTATGGTTATCATCATTGCCATTAGTAATTCTGTGAAAGGATGAGGGTTCTATAAGGCCCTTTCTTTGGCCCCGGTATATTCGGATTTTCACCTCCTTAATTTGTTCAACGATGTCCTAGTGTATTGAATGCGGAAAAACGAAGGTAAAAGTTTGACCGAAAACGGGGTTTGGGGGGTACCAAAAGGGTAGGGTAAATTACAAATATAATTTGCTGTTTACAAAATGAGCTTAAAAAACCCCCAAAATACCATTTCTGTATTTGGAAACAATTAAACAGGCATACAAAAAAGAAAGAAAAATGCAAGAAATCCAATCGTCACTCAAAGATTGTTTGTATAAAATCGAGGATTAAGTCAGGGGGTTGGTTTAGGTAATTTTCAAAAACAAAGTGTTTTGTTTTCTCAATAATTTTCTTTCTAATTTATGTTTACAACTTAAATCATTTGAGTACACTTGCATAACATGTAATATTCACTATATACTTTCCCTTTCTTTTTTCCTCGAAAACTTGTGATACACTTGGTATTCAACAAACTTTATTTCATTCCTTTTTCCATTTACAGTATGATGTAAAGCAATAAATAATTGTTGAAATTGGATTTGGAAACAAGTTTAACGACTTATGTAGATCCATCTCTTATTTCTTTGAAAAGTCACGCCCAGGTGCTTGTTCCTTGTAAAGCGTATTCGGCGACGTATGGTAAACACTTTTGGCAAATATATTTGTTTTTCTGGTGAAGACTACGATTGTGTTATTTCTATCCATGTTTGTAGACATAGACTGTAGTATGGGAATAGTCGTCATCTAGATGCATTACTTTTGTTTTGTGGACATAGTAGGGGTACAGTCATCATCTAGATGTATTACTTTTATTTTGTGGACATAGCAGGGGAATAGTTATCATCTAGATGTATTACTTTTAATTTGTGGACATAGCAGGGGAATAGTCATCATCTAGATGTATTACTTTTATTTTGTGGACATAGCAGGGGAATAGTCATCATCTAGATGTTTCACTTTTATTTTGTGGACATAGCAGGGGTTTAGTCGCCATCTAGATGTATTACTTTTGTTGTGTGGACATAGCAGGGGAATAGTCATCATCTAGATGTATTACTTTTGTTTTGTGGACAAAGTAGGGGAAAAGTCGTCATCTAGATGTTTTACTTTTGTTTTGTGGACAAAGTAGGGGAATAGTCGTCATCTAGATGTTTTACTTTTGTTTTGTGGACATAGAAGGAATGTAATCATCATCTAGATGTAAAGTAGGTATAAAAGAGAAAGGGGAAAAGCTCCGGGTTTTTAGAGTTAAAACGTAAAGAACACCAGGGTTATCTCCCATTGCTCAATGTATCTTTAATATAAACAGGTAAAAACGTGATAATGTAAAACACATTTTATTATCATAGGCTTAGTATACAGATATTGACATTATAAAACGTTTAAAATTAATTAATGGAAATATTAAAACTATAAAAAGTACAGTTACTGTCATTTTCAGCTGAGTATTTGTATATTGATAGAGCTCGGCGATTTTCGTCCATTTTAGCATCTGTTTGATATTCGGCAAGACAAGTAAATCTTTGTTGTCCAATTGTGACACGGAGAGATATATTTGATTTGACAAGGACTTTCCAACGTTTTTTATGCATCTAATACCAGCATAGATTACATGAGTAATACTACCTAAAGCGTAGGTTGCAAAAGGATAATCTATCAATTGATGCCCTTCCAGAAACTCCCACAACAATATCATATAATTCAACTTACGTCATATTTCGTTTGATATTATATATCTACAAAGGCAAAGTATTGTTTTAACAAGTACAAAAACGGAAACAAGTTGTCAGAACAAATATACATTAAATTGCACAAAAACTAAATAGTTATGACTACGATTTGAAACAGTATCAAAATAGGCTATCACCAGCTTCATAAAAGGTAAACGGGGACACTAGATTAAACCCACGTGATGCGGTCAAATGTAAACTGTATCATAAACACAGCCACCCAAAGACAGGGGGGCCTGAGATTCTTACAACACCTGCATGAGGCATTTTCCAATGTTTCCCCAATTGGAATATTCTCCTTTGCATAACAAATTCAACCTTGAAGAAAATGGTTTTCCTCCTCTTTGGAAACAGGAAAGTAATTGTACTTACGCGATGAAAGTTCAAGTGTAATATTTACCTCTTCTGTAACACTGAGAATAGGAAATTGTAAGTATGAAAAGACCAACTAGAGTACAATACAGATTTGCCAAATGGTTGCACAGGAACTTTCGCATATTTGTTTAGTTCTATAAAATCTATGATTCAAAACAATCTCAAGCTGAAATCATTGGAAATTGTTTGGAGTTTTTTTCAAAGCAAAAAAGAACAAAGCAATTTCAAGATATTATCAAAACCCTTCATAGTGTTCGCATTCATCGTCATTTTCCACTTGTCAGTAAAAATAGTACGCGATGAGATTTTCACTACTTACCAAAAATAACAAAAGTAACTGGTACACAAATAGGAAGGAGTACAAAATGATGTTTAAACTTGACCTGTGTTTTTTTTTTAATTGAAGCTGAAGAATTGTGTGTTTTATATAATTTAGACTACAAAATAGCTTCATATAAGCCCTACTAGCAAATTTGCAATGTCTGGTTATTTTATTGTTTGGACATCATACTGGTCTTGTACGAAAATCAAATATAGATACCATATCGTCATCATTATTCATCAACTCATATTGCTTTTAAGATTACCAAATAGTATTTGCTTTTTCTAAAAAGGAAACAATTTTAAAATACTTCCAAACGTTTTCTTGGGGTTGGTAAGTATGGAATGTGAAAAGATCCATGTAACACTACCAAAAAGGGTTTATATGTGACGTTTCGATGACTAGTACGGTATGTGTCGATGACTAGTACGGTATGTACCCTGTCACCTTCATCAGAAAAATGACCAGTGAAGCGTTTGTATACAAAGGTCTAAAATATGTACGAGTTGTCCACAAATCGATGTCGATTCGGCTAGGCTGTAAGCGTATTTACAAATAGTTGTTATATATGTACCGAAATGACCAAGTGTTTAACAAAGCGTAAAATTCTTCTACTAAATATTACACAGAAGGTAGATACAAGATGGCTGGAGTTGCCATATACAGCTTATATCATACAAGTTCCAATACAAATTGTACAATACTTTACATAGCAAAAAACATTAAACACATTGATGAACAAAATACAATCATAATAACAGTGACTAAAAGACTTATGTCTCTGCTAGATTTAGGTGATAACAAACTGTATAGTGTGTTACACATTACCAGGGGAGATAACCTATAATACATATATGTATAGCGCTCTTGATTGTTGCAATTTATTTTTTGTCAAAATAACACATTTGTTTCTTTATTACATTTACTTTAATAGTGCATTAAAAATATGTGTTTACGTTACTATTAAGTTTCTGGTATCCTCAGTGTACATATTCATTTCCCTATTAATAGATATTGCAACCGTTCACGTCAAATAAGGTAAAGCTACATGTATACAAATGTTCACCACTAGGTCAAAACGATGTTTTTCCTTAAAGTGAAATATAATATCACTATTTGTTATTCTGTCACTATTTATGCAATTGTGTGATGAGAATGGTGTACCTACAAACGAACATGAGCGTGTATACGTACATAGTGGCCTTGTTCTGGCAGTGCTTACTGGCTCTCTGTCAGTAATGGTGGCGCGGTATTGCCCCTAACAATATCTAGAGTTGTCGTTCCTTATACCAACATTTCACCGCTTGTCAATGGCTGAAAGTCAAGGTTCTTGGACAAACTAAAATTCGACTTGGTTCAGTCGTTCCTTATTTTCAAAATTAGTTGGTTTTTTTTTATACATTTCCAACAAATGAATGATGTCTTCATCTTGATGTAGGTTTACTTATATTCAAGCTATAAATAAAAATCACCATTTCAATGTCAAACCTTTTTCCTGTTAAATGTTTTCTCCAACAGGACTAAATGTAAGTTTCCATTACCATCCTGAGGCAAATACTCACTGAAATAGTTCAAGCTAAGTGTTACCAAGTTGTGACTTTTAAGGTTAACAGAGGTGTGTGTAACGATCGACAACTCGTGATAGACGTTTATATCACTTTACTGCATCGTAGCCCTTTTTTAGATAAGCATATCACAAAGAAACATGTACAGTGTTATGCGTTATAATTAAGACTTTGTAATGAATATCAGACATAAATGAACGGAATTCAGGATCGCGTGTTCTGATACACTTATACGATTATGAAATTTGAATTAACTTGAAAACGTAACAATTGATAAGGGAGTGGACTCCTAAATTAAACCACATATTTACTCCATAAAGAGCACATACAATGTATATACATGTGTAAGTAAGGATAATACCCCAACATATTCAACTAAATGTAAAATATCGCAATCAGGTGATTACATGTCAATACCCCATAGACCATGAATCTATACTTGACGAAACAAACTTATTTGTTCTTTCAACAAATAGTTCCTGCTTACCAAATTTAAAAGTTAATACGGATAACATAGAACGATTGTTAACTACGTTATGGATTCACGACGAATATTGAGCAAATTATATTACCACTGCAATGCAATAAAACATAAAATCAACGAAGAAAAATAGTAGCATTTTAATGAGCAAATTAAGTTCGAGTCATGGTGAAGAGTTCGACTGAGCTTGTAACAGGACCAGAAATAAATGAATGTAAAAACAAAAACTTAAAAAAACTACTACCTTATGAAATGTCAATTTGTTTTCGTAGCATTAGTAATTATTTCAAAATGCTCGCAAATTTTGTAAAAAAAAACAACAACCAATGATATGTTTTTTCCGGAAATGTGGAGGGTAAAATCGATAGTATCTTTATAAAAATATTTTATCACGATATAAAAGACATATATGCGTGTTTTCTTTAAATTCTAACTACTTTGTCATGGTCCTCTTTTTCTGCCTATAAGGCTACCACAAGCATTCATTTGTTAAAAGTCGTGCCTACAATGCACAAACAAAGCGCACATCTGTTAACAATGTCGCCTTCTATTTGTTCTGTTCATACATTAAGGCCTCGGTTTTAAAATCCTAGCCTTAACCTAATTTTGTAAAAACGGGAAGTAACGTTTGAGTTTAGGGAAAATATTGACTGAACTTAAAACAGCAAAGCCTTAACCTTAATTTGTACAAACGGGAAGTAAAGTTTGAGTTCATGGAAAATATTGACTGAAGCTAATTGAATGTTCCTGAGTCTTGGCCAGTATATTCTTCCTTAAAAATTACATATATAAAGGTGTGTTTATGGTTCTTTCATGGAAGACAGGTGAATTGGTCCAAATTCATATCATCAATATGGGATAAACAGCACATTTAACAACCATCCCTAGAACGGAACAACACTAGTAGTTTATAAATAAAACATATATTACAATAACATCGCTTGGTCCACTGACAGTGATATCACAGGATGCTCCGGTCTTTAATAAATGATTACAAATCAGTTATAGCCAGAGTAATAATACTCTGACTTTAACTTCGCCTTTTTAATGGCAGATTTTACCCGATTGTATGCAAGTGTATCATCTCCCGCGTCTTCTTCCTCGCCATCTCCCTCCTCCTCATCTTTCGTTGTGCCTTTTCCCGCGCTATCATCAGTCACCTGTTCATCACCACCAACAGGGTCATCACTTGACCGATCAGTGTTATCACGTGGTTTACCATCGAGAGTAATTTCGCTATCCTCAGTTGTTTTATCGTGTGCGTCTGTCTGCGTGTCCTCATCGTAGTCTTCGTTTTCCTCCGACTCTGTTTCAGGGGACCACAGAAACCGGTCGTCGCCAAGGAGGGTGGCCAGTTCCTGATTATACGGTTCATAAAATTCCTGTAATATTTGTTTAGTTTTGTCGAGCATCTGTCCAACTCGTTTGTCTTTATGTTTTCTTTTATTGGCAATTGGAACATGGATGACGTGTTTGAATTCACTATCAGACAGCTTGCCTGAAATAGAAACAACAAGGTGTTACTGATACTGCATCTATTAATGAACCATTCTTAAAAGTGAACCCACATAATATGAAATCTCCTTATCAATACTGAACCTACTTTATAACTTAAAGTCGCAAATATATAAATATCATATTTACTTTTATAAATTCGTTAAAAAGAAAGAACCAATTTTTGCCATAACTGATTCAGGTTTTGTAACACATAATCATAGTTTATGCTTGACATAGTTTTACAGTACTAGTCCCTTGACATAACATATTTGTTTACCTTCGTGTTTATTATCGGGGAAACAAATAATAATACTAAGCTGTGTTTGACATCACAACACAAAGGGACAGGTGGCTGTTGATTACAGGGGAGTAGACTGATGATTTTGACCGGTCAGTCCCAATCTATTTGTCTGAAAAAGTACTATGTTTTTCTAATTATTTGTATCATATCTACTTGCCTTGTTTGTTCGATTGAACACTGTTGTTCTCAAGAATTCCGTCTTTGCGTATTGCAGAGTTATCTTCTCTTGGGAGCAGGTATTGATTGTTACGTCATTGGTTTGTGTGAGAAAATTACGTCGTTTTCTCAAAAACTGATGACGTTACTCTCACAAACAAGTGACGTAACAATCAATACCTGCTCCCAAGAGAAGATAACTCTGCAATACGCAAAGACGGAATATGCTAGAGAAAGTGCCTTTTGGTAAAACATAAAATAATTTTTCCAACATGGAAATCAATTCATGTATAATGTATATGTATAACTCTAAAATAAAGTTAAAAAAACCCACAAAAAAAAACAATCCTCTATTACAACTCACGTAATTTGAGAAAGCTGAACACTTTCTTTATCACACCCGCAAGGTCATTAGAATAGTCCTCCAGGCGTAAAATCAGGAGTTGTTCCCGTGGAAATAGCTTCAGCCAATCGCGGAGATAGATGACGTACAGCCCAACTCTAAGTCTTGTCTGTATGTTAAAATTTAAAAGGTTGTAAAATACGTCATGTCATCCTGCGTGCTAACATGAGTAACACAGCAATCCCCGATCAACATACTGTGTATGCATTCAATGACATATTTGAAATTATCCTCATAGATTGTGTACATAAGTACATAATGATGCGAATTAATTTGTACTTCATGATCAGAAGCAAATAAATAATGTGAACATATGATACCAATTTAAAAAATAAGTTTTAACATACATTCAGTTGAATATTTAAACTTTAACATTATCTTTTCTCAAGTTTCATTATAATAACTGTTAAAAAATATATATGTTAAAGACAAGGGAACGGCACCAGAAAAGACATTTCAAGTATTGTTTAAAGGTCTTGGGTAGAAGGGGCTGTTTCATAACCATATTTAAAATATGGATCATTAACTTTGGATTATCAACAAAAATTCTTGCTTTGAGCAGCAATGTAGTTATTCCAAAATTGTTTGAGACAATTTCTATCTCACGCCTATTCCTACACATTATGATATGGTCTATATATTTTTACACCAAGATGATTGATCCCTGTTATGTAACTATATGTTTTTATACTGTGATAGTTTATACGTGTACGATGTAATTGTGATATATGACACTATAATAAACAAGATTGACTTGACTTGACCTACACTACAATTAATGAACAGAAGTTGTACGTACCGCGGACTGGAGCGCGACGGACCTGTTGTAAACACAGTAACGCATGCTATGTGTTTCCGTACAGTTTCTGTACACATCTATACCATTTAACATCCGCAGGTGGAACGCCTCCGACGATTTCTTTCCCATGTTGAAATACAAGTAATCTGAGAACAATCTGAAACACAAAATGTAAGCTACAGTATTCTAGACATGAATGAATAATATGTCAATTTGATAAGTGGTGACTATAACTTTAGGTGGTATTTTTCAAATATCTCCTACATGCGAGTTAACGAGATAAAAATGAAGGTGGCACCGATTGGCTCCTGTACTTGTTTACAGTATCGTATATATCTGTAAAACGGTTATTAAGAGTTAAGAGTAGTATATAAAGCGACTATATATAACCAATGAAGTATATTTATGAATTGTCAATGACGGCTGACGTAAAACAGGACAAAAATAACGCTGCTGTGATAGCCACCTGCTGTAACACGCTCCACTACTTAGATTGTATTAATCAGAACGGTATACATTACAAACGTGCTGTTTTATCCTGCCATGTGTTACGTAAGGTAACACAGTCCGTATTACATACAGCGGTAGGTCACACGTGTAGCCTACAGGCGGGTGTAAAGAGCGCATGCTTTCTTAATCAAATCAAGGCTCTTTCGTAGTGTTAGTAGCATACGCTACTGCATTCCCAATGCAATTGAAATCGTATATCTCAGATTAAATATTAAGTATGCTATTACCGATACCAATATAGTAGAAATCAATATATCATCGTAGCCAAGTTTTCCTTTATTCTAATTAGAAGAAAATTCTCGTAATTTGTGCCTTTGGACCATTCAAAGTTTTGTTTATATGTATGGAAACTATCGTTAACAGTGTCGAAGTGGCAGCTTGATCAACTGATTGTTATGTTTCCTGCCATTGAAGAGATCAAATGACGGTCCATGTCAGCCTTTTGGTTTCATGCTGTGGTTGGTTCGAATGTTATGTTAATGTACCGTGAGGGACGCTTGTCAGTAGCCAATTGGATAAACAGGTATCAGCTTCCTAACTAGGATGACCAATTCGGCAGACAAATATTTGTATATGACATCGACGGAAAGATTTAATATCCCAAGAGCAACAATATAGTTAGAGTTAAAAACCTTCCAAACTCGAACACTTAGTAGCAGAAACACATTTAGAATTGCAATAATAAGTGTATTCGCATTAGGTATAACAACAAGAAAATACCAAAGTGTCAATACATCCATACTTCAGACTCTAAATCGATAAAACTAGAGTCAACTATGAACAAAGGAAGGATTTACAATGAAGACCATTGAAAAAGTACAATGAGAATAAGACCAGATGTTTCGGAAGGGTAAGCGTCTTCTGCTTCATGGGGGACACATGTCGTGCAAACATTTGTGAAATATAATGTCACGTCCTCACACCGAGAACTTGTATAGGTACACTAATGAGCACAAATAACCCAATGCACATTTAAAATGGTAGTGAGTGACAAGAACGGCGAGTCTCCATGACAGCTTCTTTCGTTCTCTTCCCTCTAATCAGGACACACTGATGATTCCACAACCTCTCGTACTAGCCGTGGCATGCCCATGTCCTATCATACAATTATCAATCAAGCAAATTAATTGCATATTGCAACCAAACCACATTATACAGCTAGAATTGCTATTAACAACCTACACATATAAATATGTGCAGTATTAATCATTAATCAGTTCAATAGACGTATGGTATAAAAGATGCATTGTTCTTTTTTAAGTACAATAAACAATGAAATGTGTCTCGTCCCTTTATGTTACAGCTTAAATAAGGAATTAGATGTTTAGGAAAAAGCTATTGATAGCATCTCGTTACACCGGAAAGGCATTAGCCAGAATACCAGACGTGAACTTAATTTCCAATTAGAATGGCGGAATACGATATACTGCTGCGAGCAATGAGGAGATAAATCGGAGGAGGTTTATTTAATCATGGCCTCAGACAGTTCCACTCATCACGTACTTGTAAAACATCCTGTATATCTGATCAAATGACCACCTTTACATTAGATGTTACTGACGAGCCTGCACGCGCGTATTGCACAGACAACAATGATGATAAGCTCAGAGATTGAGACACTAGTGTGTGTGTCTGATGGAGCAACACAATCATAATGACATCGCAAAAGGCCTCGTATCACTTGCAATAACACGAGTCATTGTGAGGCAAACAGGTACCTGGGGATATTGAAATACGAAAGATATGTCTGTCTGTTTGGGAATTTCGTAATTGCAACAGGTAAGTGTATAAGACGACGCGGTGACAATAACCGATGACGACGGTGACCACCAATGAGAGTGTTAATCAAGGATTATATTGCACAATCGATATTTCCAACTTTACAAGAGGATTCTACTAAAACTGTAGAATGACATTTTGAAACCGGCTAAGAGAATTCATAAAATTATAGAGACTTCATAAAATGATATTGACAATGTGGCATTATTTTATTTGAGACTGAATATGTTGAAGATCTTTACAAGACCGTTTATAAAAAATTGCCAGGCTTTTCATTTCCACTGTCAGATATATGTGTTGTCTTTAAATAACAATAAATATATTGCTTACGCCGATCTAATATACCTTCCTGACTTTGAAATCAACGACTCTACAGACTGTTCTTCGTCAGCCGCTTTCCCTGATCTTTACTTACAACATGTCCAAAAGGACGGCTTACTTCTAAGCTGTATCATAAGCATGAAGATTTTGATTTTACGATTGTGAACTTTCCCTTTCTTGACATGTCATACCTGCTTCCCGAACAAACGGTGTTTACATGTTGCATTTTATTTAGAACTCCAGGGCTTGCTCCGAATGCCGTGATCTCCGTGAATACCTGACAACACAAGGTTTCGAGGTGCCAATCGATGAAGTTAATGTTGTGTGTGTGTGCTAATCGATGAAATTAGGGTTGTGTGTGTGATCATCATCATGATCTCATTGGGAAAAGTCAGTTTCCTTGGGGATATATAGCTCGACGTTTTTCTATTTTGCTCATTAACGTGCGTTCCTGCTTTATTTTACCTAACTGGTCTCGCTCAAGGTCGTCTGGTTACTTAGATTTTACCTATATTTACATGGCGGGCGTCGTTGCTGAAGCAGAAGACGCTTTTATACCCTTCTGGTACACACAACATTTCAGTTGTTCAAATCTTGACTTAGTTTTATCGAGGTATGGTTTTGTTGTCGCTTCGGTATTCCCTTGTTGCACTTGTAATACATCAACATCGGCAATATCGACATCCAGACATAGAGTCACGACACTTCAGTCGGTACAATTATTCTGAAAACGAGCCAACCATTTCAATCTAGAGCAACTTCAAAATGTTTGAGTAGTAAAAAACAGAAAAGAAAAGATGGAGGTCCAACGAGTAAGAGTTATAGAAAAATAAGAACAGCTGCATATATAGAATTCATTTGCATGACGACCCACCATAACTGCCTCATAATGGTATGATTCTTACCTACCAAGACATAGGAAGAAGGGGACAGGTTGGGTGTGACGGGATTCGTTCCTCGTGTAACCCTGGCTGTTGCAATGACATTTAACCTCATACCAACAAAGCTAAGCAAGTGACAGCATCTTAACGCTTTTTAAAATGTACTTACATATCTACGTACATAACAATTTGGATTCGAGTTTACAAACTGGGAGAAATGGCCCGTCTATAGCTCGAGACAGATACTGCTCTAATTGAATTAAACATGGGAAGGATCACATACGATGAACAAGGCATGGAGCCAATTTTCAATGAAAATTTAATCGGCGAACGAACGTTAAGTTACGGGCATGTACCTCTATGTAGAATTATCAAAGGCATTTGTAAAGTAAACGTTTTTACTAAACAAACAATAAACATCACGAGAGGTTGAACCAGACGGTACCAGCAGTAAATGTCAAGGCCTGTGCTACCAACCATCGCTGTAACATATGGCTACAGGAGGAGAGGGTTATGTGAAAGGTTTTCGACGGTTTTTGTAAACTACTCCGACATGCCATGAGGCGAGACCCGCACGGTTACCATAGACGCGCGCCAGACAAAACATGCCGCTACTGTCAGGCGTTATTATGCTTGGCCTCCTAGCTGATGACTTTACGATGCGCTAACAGAATGTAAGTGCATGTTGTTTTCGGAGTTCTCTGACAGGATTGTCTGACGTGTGTAGTGCTATAACTGTCCGCTGTTTTGTTTTATCGGTAAATACATTACGTTGTCAAGACAATAAAGGTTGTTTTAAAGTTATTTGAAAAACACGACCTCCAATGTTAAAATGTTGTGGGAGTTTACAAACAACATTTTACCACGCACCAGTTTCATAATGCGTCTGGCAACGCGAAATGTCACTGATAATAGTACACCAGTACGTAATTCAGGCGATCGGGTAGATTCCCAGCCGTTATCTGTCGTAGCCTTGAACGATGTCCGTAACTTTTACCAGAATCACGCTACCAGACCTCGTACGATTATCAGCCGTCTCTAGGTCGTCACATTGTCAGATGTCAGTAAGTTTCACCAGAATCACGCTACCAGAACTCGTACGATTATCAGCCGTCTCTAGGTCGTCACATTGTCAGATAGTTTTACCAGAATCACGCTACCAGAACTCGTACGATTATCAGCCGTCTCTAGGTCGTCACATTGTCAGATAGTTTTACCAGAATCACGCTACCAGAACTCGTACGATTATAAGCCGTCTTTAGGTCGTCACATTGTCAGATGTCAGTAACTTTTACAAGAATCACGCTACCAGAACTCGTACGATTATCAGCCGTCTCTAGGTCGTCACATTGTCAGATGTCAGTAACTTTTACAAGAATCGCGCTACCAGAACTCGTACGATGATCAGCCGTCTCTAGGTCGTCACATTGTCCGATGTCAGTAAGTTTTACCAGAATCACTCTACCAGAACTCGTACGATTATCAGTCGTCTCTAGGTCGTCACATTGTCAGATGTCAGTAACTTTTACCAGAATCACGCTACCAGAACTCGTACGATGATCAGTCGTCTCTAGGTCGTCACATTGTCAGATGTCAGTAAGTTTTACCAGAATCACGCTACCAGAACTCGTACGATTATCAGCCGTCGTAACATTGCCATAAGTCAGTTTTACGGATATCTGTCGACCAGACGTCACACCATTATCAGCTGTTCAGACGTCGTAACATTGCCTGTAAGATGTAAGAACGTTAAAAACTGTTTAAAAGTATATTAATCAATTAGCAGATGCCTTGAAGTTTCACCAGCATCAGACGAACAGATGAAACAATATTACAGCCATTAAGATGTCGCAACATTTCACCTGTTCAGAAGTTGTAAATGTACGATATTACGCTGCCCAGAAATCATGCAAGTCTCACGATATTCATTCACGGTAGATAACTGCACACGGGACCAATCCAAACAAAGTAGTATCAACTCCCCGGATGTTCCGGATGTCCTCGAGGTCCCAAGATTCCGGAGTTACATAATGGTCTTACTATTAATGGAATCACGGATTAACATTGTAGCCTCACCTGTCTATGGGGTTGCGCAGAAGGAGGATGAGTTTGCTGTCAGGGAGGAGTTTTTTGACGTAGTCGGCGTTGGTGTAGACGGGTTCGTCGTTGTACACATTTTCTGGGTAATGAAACCAGTCGTCATTCTCCCAGAACGTCGACACGCTCGCCTCGCCTAAAGACACGTAAAACGTCATCAGACAAACATATAGTACCTAGACACAACACATTCAATGAAGATACAACAAACACCAGATGTAGAAAATCAATGGACGTCATATGTAAAGACATCAAACATTTAAGATACCAAAAGTTGGAAGTAAGGAGACGCCAAACATCAAAGGTAGAGACAATATGAACGTTACTAATAATCATTATAATAATGAACTTTATTTATCGAGGATAAAAAACCTGTTTAGCAAAGCTAATCTTCAACAGGGTCCTCTGTTAGTAAAAGGGTTAGTTAAAATCATGATATAATAGAAAACAAATGAGCATTCAAATTATTATCACAGTAAGCATAGGCATGAAAGTAGTTGAGCTTATTATAATTTGATTAAATATATATACAAATAAAGGGTCATTTACACTTTTCATTAAAATTATCACAGGGCAAAGATAACGTTAAGTTTATAGTCAAATTCCGACAGAACGTAGTGATCGCTTTGTAAGAATGTCAATATCAGGCATTTAGATGAAGGAAGAGGTTTGTTTTAAATAGAAAATATATTGAAATTAAACATTATTTAACTGTTATGCACATGAAAATGCAGCATTCTGACGAACTAAATGTAAGTGATTTTAACGAATGATAACTTGTGCTCCTGTTAAATAAATATGTATCAAATGTTTGAGGCATTAGTCAGTGTCTGTATTTAACATGGCATTAACCTTAACATAGACTTAGTAAGGAGGCACTGATAGTTCATGTGTATGTCGTTACATTTCACCCCAAAAATGGAATTGTGGATATATTTTATAAATACCTAATATTTTACTGTAGTACTTCACGTCCTGGTCATCCGTTTCCGGTGCTGCCTCTATCTGTAGTGCCGCCAGGTCAAACATGTCGATGTATTGTGATAATGGAATGATATCAGTAAAGTTAATGTTCTTCCCTGTATAAAAGTAGAGAGACCCGTATCATACATAGATCTTATCATTACATATATCATTCTATTATATTATACTTAATTGTTATCTATTTTAATACCCATGTTGAAGTGACGCAAAATTACCACTGTCCCAAAATTCAGAAGTTATGACATCGGCTTGTTTAGGAAATGAAAATTAGGTATCACATGACACGCGCAAAAAGGGTAGGATTTAATAAATAAGTGATATCTTAATCACTTTTCTTATTAGAAACTAACAAATACAATAAAATACATTCAGTTTTATCTATATGAGGTAGAATAGATATAATCAACATATGTTTGTATAATATAAATAGCAAATACAACTTGGAATTCAAAGATTTGGGGAAAAATATTCTTGGCCTTAGTAGCATTTGTTAACTTTTCCCTGCATGTTCTTACCATCGCTGTGTTTACCACCATACTAATTATATGCTTATATGTTGATTGTTTCCATAGAATCCATTTTGTTTTCAGATAGCATTAAAAGGCGACTATGAATACCTCTTGGATTTCTGGAAACTTTCGTAAAGAATTTAAAAGGTAGAGTTCAAAACGGATTGATATGTACAGCATACCACTTGAGTGCACACTGTTAAGTGTATAACATAAACCCCGTACATGTCGATATTATATTCAATATAAAATTAGAATCCACCAATTAATCCTGCTATGACGTCATCAGGCGTACGGTAACTTACCCTGTCTGTTCCGGCTCCACCAATGGAGCTCTTTGATTGGTGGAGCAAACACGTCCTTATGTCTCATGATTCGCCAGAAGAGGTCCGTGCTGCCACACTTCGGTTGACCAATCACTTGGAAGTATGGTAGACATCGCAAACGTTGGGCAGTATTCCGATTGGCTGATAAACGTCCGGACCACTCATTAATCAGTTCCAACGACTTGTGCCTCGCAGAGCGCGAGACGACTAGGTACTTATTGTTTTTGTAGACATCAGATTTATATAACCGTTCATACCAACAGGGGTTTTTAAAATTAGGTAAAAAATTGGGTTGTTCCTGAAAACAAAAAATATATACCGTGCGTTATAAAAAATAATTCAAAAAAAAAAATCAGAAACGCTGACCTGTACACAGAAATTCAACTGATCACATCAAATAAAATTCAAATTTAAGTTAAATTTAAAATGATTAAATATATGAGTATACATGTATCTCAATTTCCTGTTTGTTTTCTTTTATTAATCACGTCTTGGTTTTCTATAAACCCACTGCTGAGACTTTTGATAGAGCTACTTACTCTGTGTAGAAGGTCAAGATCAGGATTGACCCAAACGGATGATTGTGTAAAATTCCCATCATTCTCAGCACTTTTGTTGAAGTGCCCGTATGTCAACCCACTTCCGTCGCCGTTTCCATACATGGTGTGTACAGCATATTTGCGGTATCCATTGAATTTTGATATCACTGGATGATGGTTGAATCTGGATTGGGATAACATCATGTAACACATTAACATGGCACCCGACACAAACAGTACATAGAGAGCCGGGGTCTTCATCCGGAACCTTGGTTTCCATTTTGTTAGAGTTAAACTCCGCAGGAAACGTTTAAGGCCATGGGACATATTCTGGAAACTTCATTAGATGGAGACCTCCCTTCAGAATAACGGCTCACATTTCATCTAAAACATAAAGAAATCATTATTTAATTAAACATTCTTGATGTCGCCGAATCTTTAAAATAACAAAGTTCAAAATAAGCCGCATTCTGCAAAACGCTGTGAGTTTCGATACAAATATCCACAAAATCCGTTCCATAAAACAACGAAATGCGTCACTCCTTGTCCTTGATGACACCTACATTAATTCTGTGTGTAGTTTGATTCATCCAACTTTATAGTGTGGCCTTGCGCCATGGCCACAGATACAAATGTGTAACAATGGCGTTTGATCAAAGAAAACTCTTACCATCCCTTGTTGTCTACAGACACGTATAATGTATAGCATTAACAGATTTCCAGATGAGAACGACGAAAACAGATGTAATAACATGATTGACAGATAGTTGGCTTAGGGTATCCAATTATTCGTCGGAACAACAGCACGAGCCTGTGAACATGTAAATAGCCTAAGCCGATGCCATTCAAATGAACAACACGAAATGATAAGGAGTGATAGGGGCATACAAGATTTCTTATAGAAGGTTTCGTAAACGGCTTTTTCGAATTCAAAGCTGTTGTGTTATCTAACGTTTCACCGTTAAACCTTGTCCTATGGCCCAACTCCTCAAATTGTTGTGAATTAAGAGATAGTCTTATGAAACTTTGTGTTGTTGAAAACGTTCTACATTTCTGTTCTGGTACTCTGAAGTTTAAACTGCTTTCAAATCCACCAGCCTCCTCACGACGAATTATTGTTTCGTATCAAAACTGATCTTGTGTTCAACAAATGAACTTAGGTAAGTCTCAACATCCAGTACTTAGCGTAGACGCTGACAGAGGAACTGTTCGATAAGCCAGCACGCATGTGCGTCATTTTATCATGACTTCCACATTATCTAAGGCTTGTAGAGAGTATAAACAGTAACCATGATTTCAAAACAAGACTGGCACATCCTGTGTGGAATCGTGTACGAGTTCAGCAAGTGTGGCGCCTTTCGAAGCACCAACCCCTGTACAGGTACGTGAGCGAGCTCTAGACGTCATCAGCTTCAAAACTTCGATTGTAAATAGATTCAAAAATTTAGTTCAATACTTTTTTTTAAAGAATGCAGTGTTCGGATCAAGGGTGGTATTAGCAATAGGTGTGTTTTATTAGAATATACGAAAATCGAACAAATTCAAGCACGGATATAGCATTATAATTTGAATTTAACTATAAAATGTAATCCTGCACACCCTTCCATACACACATCCTCCCACACACACCCTTCCATACACACATCCTCCCACACACACCCCCACTTCCTGTAGATTTCTAAATGAACCAAGTAAGTGCAGGTAGATCACGCTTCTTCCCTTATCCTCATTAACAGGAGCTAAAATAATAGCATATTCCTGTCTGTTTCCTCCTCCCTAGTACTCAATGCTAAAATACATGTAGAATGGGATGTTACCCCCAACCATCGCCACCACCAATTAGCCGTATACTTAATAACATTATGTTTGTTGAAGATCTCAACCTATTCTGTATCATTATAATGCTTAAATTAAAGGGAGATCATCAAATAAATGTAAATATTCCCCGACCCCACCCCGCGCCCCCTACTCCCATATAACATGGCAAGTAGATAAATGTATAGTCCTAATACTGTTTCAAGTAAGCTGAACTTCGTTAGGGAATTTACGCATGATTTCAAACAAATGTGACGTGTTCGAACAGATGATCTGACATTCAATGTATGGGGTCGTAAAGTGCACGCCCTGTGGTCCTAACCCTCCCCTCGTTACCGAGAGATTGATGACAGATGTTGATATAAAAAAACATTCCTGATATTTCAACACTCAGTCAACAAAACATAAAATCCGCGCTGTACCGACACTAAATTGTAATGTGGCAGACAGTGCTTGGGTCGACTAGTGCTAGATAGCAATAAACCAAACCATCTTAAGGTCAAAGGTCGTGCCATGTATAGGGCTCTTCAAAAGTTCTTCATATCGTACGAATATCATTACGTATTATTCTAGCGGATGGAGAGAAATAAAAGCGAATAATGATTCATGAACCCCACGTAATTAAGCAAGACATACAATGTGTTTCAGTATTATAGAACTTCAGAGTGACCACTGTCTTCATAGGACCATCTAGTAGGAAGCAAGACTATGAATAACAAATGTATCATCTCCGAGCAATGAAATATAGCATACCTTCACATAAATAATGGCTAGTGTTACAAACTGATATACACAAACTTTACACGGGTACATTTTGAAGTTTACACGTCTTAAGTTACTCATTTTCTGTGCACGACGAAAGTGGTTGCCATGGCATCATGATTCTTGAAGGAACGCTGGGATTAGAATGTTTTATCAAAATTAAAATGAATTGCGCTATCCATTGTCTAAATGTGGAACGTAGTTTCCTTCAAGGTCGTGCAGGCTTATGAGCGTTTCACTTGTGATGAGTAATTTGATGGCCCAGACGGAGAAATGTTCTGTTCTCACGGCCTGTAATACAGCTATACAGGGTAACACATACGTCATCTTGTCTAGTTTTTTATCGTTCTGAATTGCACATGTATCTATGTATCATAAGACAAATCTGTTTTACCACAGGTTCAGGTCTCCAACAAACCGTGTCGCTTACAGACACATTGAGCGTTGTGTTCTAGTACAGTTCTACAAGTAATTTGATACTGAAATGCTTCATGTATTCTAAAACGTAGACTGCATTGTACGTCCGATTTCATATTCAAATAGCTCTTGCCAGTTTGATATTAGTGTGTTTAATAGGTCAACACAATAACACGAATGCAATTATCTCCCTTTATAACACTGCTACGTATAGTACAGGGGCTGTTACTGCAGGGTATATTTTATCATGATCTCCTGAGAAAACAAAAGTTATTTACCTTGCTCATGTCCGGTAACTTTCTTTTGGAATATTTGTACTGGAAAAATAATACACCATTTAAATCAACAGGTTCAGCTGATCGTCATGAAATGGGACGGCGTAATCGATATTTGCCTTAAAGCAGTTCAGGATTGAGGTCAAGATGTGGTTAGTTATCTACCATGTACGCATCCAATATCACACAAAGCAAATGTCGGCAATGTTTAAACATCCGGATTCGGCATGGGAAAAAGTTCTGGTTGCACAAGTAAATGTACATGTTCAACTACTGTACATATGATCACAAAATTAGCACATAACTCAATTGGCGGATATCGACATTCTTTCGAATTCGACAACAAAACGCCAGCAATAAATACACCACAATGCCAAATACAGGACCCATCAAGTCACGACGACAAATCCGAGACGGACTAATTCTTCCAGGATGTCTGTAGACTGAATCAGCTTACTGTATATCCATATTTAAAACATGTAAATAGGTCTTTCCAATAATCAATATCGAGAACACGTTAAAGAATGGTAGTCGTAGCTTCTGACGTCACCATAAAAGTGTTATTGAATACACAGTGAATAAGGAATCTTATAACGTTCATAGATTGTAAGAAAGAATTAAATTCCATGTATTTGTTTAATTGTAATGGCTTTCATACGGCGCATACCAATCTATTGTATTTCCTATCGAACATAATATATATTTGAAAAAGCAAATCTGCATACTAGAAATCTGTGCGATTTGATTCCCGTCAAAACAGTGCGGGATTCCGATGCATTAATAGCGGTCATATCGACAAAACGTAGAAAACGTATGTGTTAACCAATAACTCGGTACCTACTAATAGTATCCCTCTTCCTCAACTCCAAGCCGTCCGGTGGACGTCTGTGGTAATAGTTAATCGTAATGTTTAAAATGCTGATTTATTCATCGTTGCAGTTAAAACGTTGAACACTCTCGCAATCGTCCGCGAGAAAGTGCCATGTTAACCAGGTTGTTAACTGGACTAGATTTAAATCGAGCAATATAAACCAAACCATCATCATCCCACACCATTGTGACTTTACCAGTGTGCTATATCAAAGTACCACAAACCAGTCATACGAACACCACGACCTTCCTGTATGGACGTCTACATCTCCGTCATACGAACACCACGACCTACCTGCATACCAACACCACGACCGACCTGTATGGACGTCCACAACTCCGTCATACCAACACCACGACCGACCTGTATCGACGTCTACATCCCCGTCATACCAACACCACGACTGACCTGTATCGACGTCTACATATCCGTCATACCAACACCACGACCGACCTGTATCGACGTCTACATCTACGTCATACAAACACCACGACCTACCTGTATCGACGTCAACATGTCCGTCATACCAACACCACGACCTACCTGTATGGAATTCTACATCTCCGTCATACAAACACCACGACCGACCTGTAACGACGTCTACATCCCCGTCATACCAACACCACGACTGACCTGTATCGACGTCTACATCTACGTCATACAAACACCACGACCTACCTGTATGGAAGTCTAGCTACATTCCCGTCATACCAACACCACGACCGACCTGTATGGAAGTCTACATCTCTGGCATACAAACACCACGACTTACCTGTATGGATGTCTACATACCCGTCATACCAACACCACGACCGACCTGTATGGAATTCTACAACTCCGTCATGCCAACACCACGAACGACCTGTATCGACGTTTACATCTCCGTCATACAAACACCACAACCGACCTGTATCGAAGTCTACATCTCCGTCATACCAACACCACGACCGACCTGTATGGAAGTCTACATTCCCGTCATACCAACACCACGACCTACATTTTACCTGAATGGAGGTCTACATTCCCGTCATACCAACACCACGACCTACCTGTATGGAAGTCTAAATTCCCGTCATGCAAACACCACGACCTACCTGCATGGAAGTCTACATATCCGTCATACAAACACCACGACCGACCTGTATCGACGTCTACATCTCCGTCATACAAACACCACGACCTACCTGTATGGAAGTCTACCTCCCAGTCATAAAAACACCACGACCTACCTGTATGGACATCTACATTCCCGCCATTAGAACACTTCGACCTTCCTGTGTCTATAATACACTCATACATTTTTTGTATCTCCGTACACACACACCGCCAAGCTGACGTGTAGGGCTGCGGATGCTGAATGAGTGGTACATTCGTTACCTCATCTCTGTGTAGTGGGGGGGG